CCCCGCCTGCGCGCGGCCCTTCGCCCTTAAACGCGCGCTTGGGGCTAGGTGCGACACGCTCGGTTGTGCTCTAGGCGCGCGTGGCGTTGCACGGACGCGCCTGAAAGTTTTGCAGTTTGCAAATCTGGGGTTGTTTTCGGGGGAGGGGGGGTGGTTTGGTTGGTTGGTTCCCTCCACTGTGGCTGAAAAATGGAAAAGGTTTGAGAGCTTGAATCTTAATTATTTTGCTTAAGAACTTGGTGGTGCAAACTTACCCGTGCGTGCATCCTGAGGCTGAGACACTTGGCATGGGTGTAAAGCGCTCTTCTGCTGCCTCTTTAGCTAAGGGTCTGATCCTGCAGTCTTATGTGCATAAATTCTGGTTCTGCAGTTCCAGGAGCGTTCGCCTGAAGGGCTGCAGAGTTGTGTTTAGGATTGCTTTAGTGTGTTAAACTCGAAACAAACTGTGACTCTCCTCTCAGTATAGGATAACTCCTTGTTCCTCTTTTCCACAATCATTTTAATGCAGAACCAAATGTGAAACATGAGCGTTATGATTTATTAGCCTTTTACATAAGCCAAAAAGGGTATCTGATGGGTTTCACAAGATGCAGGTCCAGAACCTGAAGGCAGAAAGCCTAATTGTCTCCTACTGGTTCTGAATAAAATGCAAAAAAGGTGCAAGGATTGTAGCGGCTGGGAAATACCAGCTCTTTGTGCTCGCACAGTTATTCAGTATGTGGGCAGGCTCCTGAGAGTGTGCTACATCGAACTGACTTGGGGTTAGTATACTGGAAGCTTAATTTATAGATTTCATGTGTTTCTGCTTTTCAGCTTTGTGGAGAGGGGGGAAAAGGAGGGGGAAGAAATCCTGTCTATAAGAAGCTGCCTTGTCAGTCAGGTTTGTTGATAAAGACATTACTTTAAAAAAATTACTTAAATTGTATATATTTGAGGGCAAACAGAAATAAAATATTGACAGAGCAATTCATCTTTTTCAAAGAATGATGCTAAGTCAGTGGTTCAGGGGCACAATTGCATCAGGAAGAGACTTTCAAACAAATGTAACCATTCTTGTGCTATGAGTGGAAATGGACTGTAAGACAGTTTCAGAGGTCTGCTTTTGTTTTTATGGAATCTAGATTACTCATCTAAAGATATTTTTTTTCTGCATTTTCCTCCAAAGTTTTCAAGAAGTCAAGCTTTTTGCTAGGTAGTGTGCATAGGAATATAGTCAAGGAGATAAGCAAGGAGACTTCCTTCTTATTAGCCAAGTTCAATGATCAGCTAAATATACTTGAAATATGTCACAGGCTCATTTCTAGGAGTGTCTGGAGAAGAACAGAAGCTGTTTGTGCCTGTGAAATATTAGCACAGTCCAAATAACTTTAAAAAGTGAAAAAAACCCTTAAAGTTTATTATTACATGAATTTATTCTCATCTCCATTTAGGAGCTCCCACTTCAGTGTTAAAATGATCCGCCATAATCACGCATATGCAGAAAGGGAATGTTGAATAAGATTAGCAACATAAATCTCTGCTGCTTCATAAGTTTTACCCAGCTGCTTGGTGATTTCACAGCTGTTTCTGCAGCTGATAACCATTTCCATCACTCTGCTTTCAGAGGAGGCATTGCACTGCACTGCTGCAGATTCTGCCTAGTCCCTATCCGAGTTACAAATCTTGTTATAAAAAATCAGGAAACAAAAAGATTGATGAATATTAAGTATAACGGAATCATGTTTATTACTCTGAGCTCTTGGATCCATTTAGTTTGCATTGAAATTTCATTTTATTTTATTTTGATTTGATTTGATTTAAGAGGGGATTTTGGGGATTATATTACCTAGCTCTTTTTAATAACAGAATAGATTTTAAATGAGTTTATAATGGGAAGCATGTTGTCACTGCCAGTTTATAGCTGGGAAAAATGAAGTGCACAGAGATGGAGTGATTTGCTTAAAGAGATTTTGTCTCTTCTCTGCCTCCGGTTTAAGTGTTCTGAATTGCAGTTTAGTTCTTTGATTCACATAGGTGAAGTGAGCAATAGAAAGAGAGCTAAATGAACTTTTAGCTGCAGAAATTCCTGTGCACTCCCTTATCCTGCCTACCTCTTTCAGGGGGGACTTGCCTGGGTTGTGACACTCATCATCCAGACGTCACATCATCAAAGGAAAAACTTACATAAGGCCAGAAATGGGTGGCTGCTGCCAAGAAAAGAGGCAGAAGCCAAGCAGGAGAGTGAGAGGTGGAACATCTCCTGCTTTGTTTGGTTAGGTTGGGAGCGGGCGGCAGCATATGGCAGAAACTCTTCTATGCAGGAGTTTTGCTCTTAAGAAGCTGATTAATACCCAACTGCTTTTCTTTGTAGGAAAACTTCACGCTACAGCCCTGTTACCTTCGATTCATCACCCAGCAACATCTCATACTTCAAAGCCTGGGACGGCTCTCTCTGCTGCCTGACTCTGCCTTGAATTGACAGACAACACGTCTTGAACAGGCTTTCTCTGCTTACTGCGCCGAGTGATTTGTTGCGATGGATTGTATTTGGACCTGGTAGGTGTGCATGCTGACAGATGTTGATTTTTGGGTCTTTTCAGTAAATCTCAACTTACACTTACTTGTAGGTATTGTATGCTACAGGGTAAAACTTTCTTCTCCCCCTCATCCAGCGTTAGCTGCAGATTGACTTGGAAGAAGAACGTGCTTCTGTGGCAAAGTAGCTCCTTGAGCGAGTACTTCTAATACAACAGTGAGAGGATGCTGGTATTGCTGGGTATCTTTGCCTAAATTTCTTACTCTGAAACTTGAACCACGTCACCTGTTCGCATAAGTCAGAAGTGTCTTTGCTGGCAGTGAGGATCTAGTGCCCTGTTTTCTGGGGGTGAATACCTTTACTCACAGTTTGAATAGGGTCTGTTGTTTATTTAAGTTACAGTATTTCAATGGAGCTTTGTTTATTTGTTTTATATGAATGCCTGTCTACTTGCATCCTATTATAGGCAAGTATTCTGCTCCTCAGAAGTCAACGCGTATTTTGCTATTGATTTAATTTTAGTAGTTTGGGAGATTTTTTAATCCCCAATGTGAGTTTTGACTGTGTAAATATCTCTTCTTGCTTCATAAATCTCTGTATAAGATATCTAAGAGATATAATTTGTATCAGGGATGTATCTGAATCAGAGGGACAAGGGCCCTGGAGATAGGAGTGAATATACTTTGACTGAATGTTAAAAGTCTTCAAAAGTCATTGTGTTTCTTATGAGCCCAATCCAAAGCCTTTTCAAGTTAATGGGAGATTTTCCTGTTTTTTTGATTGGTAAAGAAAGTATTCAGAGTTTTGAGTAGTTATTACAATATATTTGGAACTAAGGCACCTTTTATAAGCAGAGTGTTGTTTTTACTCAAATTAGTACGAAAACATTGAACAGACTGAATTCAAGTAATGGTACAACCAAAAGGTGGCATTTTGGGGCCACCTTCTCCCCTTGCACAGAACTCCTATAATGTTTTACAAATCAGTAATGCAGCAACATAATGGCACCAGTATGATCCTTATACTGGAGAGAGTATGGATAGTCTTACAGAGCAATCCCATGACTTTCCTGGTTTCTCTTGGCTGATACGGAGGGTGATGTGTCACGGCTAAGGACAAAGCAAGAGTACCAAAATGCCAGCACAGATATTCGTTTTGTCTTCTGGGCACTGATCAGACCCTCTGCCTGCCCTTTGGAGGTACCAAGCACCTTCAGTGTTGATTGCTGTCATTTTGGGGGGCAGGGGAAGGGGAGGCTACGCTTTCCAGTAGGTGCTGAGCACCCTGCAGGACTGAGCCCTGAAGATAACTGTATACAACTATGTAAAACATTGAGCTGAATATTTTTCCTTAGAACAGGAGAACAAAGGCATTGTTAAACTTGATCTCAGTTTTCCTTCTCTCATTAGGGTTCAAGGAAATACAGATACAAACTCTATTGACTAGGCACAGGGCACAGCCTGGTTGTGTGTGTTAAAAATAGTGAAATCCTCTTTCTCGCAGAACACACGCTGTCAGTTATATGAGGTACTGAGATACGAGCCCAAGGGCTCTCCACAATGGAGGAATATATCTTAGCAACAAGGGTGGGAGTGGTGGGAAAGGAAAAGGAGAATACAAGTATCTGGCAATTAACTTCCTAGTCACAGATGTGAAGGTGATAAAAGTGATAAAAGCACTACTGCATTGCCAAGAGCCTTCCTTGTTCTCTGAGCTGCATACCACACTGTTCGCGAGAGCAAAAGCTGCACAGCCCATGCTGAAGTGATGGAGGAGGTCCTGTGAGCTGTTCCTGGCAGGAAAGCCTGCTGGCTCCCCAGAGTCCCAGCCGGCATATGCACTGGTCCCGTGTCCTGGTCTGAGGCCATGCAGCCGTGGCAGCTCAGCTTTGTCGAGGGCACTGCAGGGTGGCCCCGACACCGGCGGGGTCCTAGTGGGACGGCAGAGGTCTGGCGTGGCAGCCTGGGACAGTTGAGAGCAATGGGCTGGTCTTGTGCCAATCAGGTGGACTTCAGTTCTGCATGGGGTTAAATGGAAGCAAAAGCTATTTTTCCTCATAATGCAGAGGCCATGGAGCTATGCATGCCGCCCGAAGGATTGATAGTGTGTATATGGTATGGAGACGGGGGGGAAGAAACCTCATGTAACAAAGAAGGGTGACTATGACTGTAAATCTCCCTCCCCATAGCGACGTGGTGTGGTTTCATGGGCTTGTAAGGACCCATACAGCTTTTCCATCAAGCTGATTAAATGGCAAGCCAACAGCCTTGCACTGATGTTGCTGTAACAGCAGGTTCATCAGCATTCAGCTGGCATTTCCCTCGTTCAGGGAATTGTCGTCTTCCCCGTTCCCTGCACATCCATACCTAGTCATGCCTGTTTGAATTTTTTTGCTAAGTAACACTTGCCCTGAGAAAGGGTTCATTGTTCAGCGACAACAGAACAGCTATGCTGCCTCTGTGGGTGGCGAGTTTGACATAACAGATGAGCAGCAGAGCCTGGAGCCAGTGTGTCGCGAGGGAGAACTGGGCTGGTTTAGAGCCCCAGCAGCAGTTTGTCCTTTCCCGGACGATGGTCTGGGAACTTGTCCCCAGCCCAGGAATCTAAGCTGTGCTGTGTTACATCCCGTATGGAGAAAAACGAAGGCAGCGGTTCCTGCCCGTGGTGCTCCGTGTCTGGGACTGCGGCTGGAGTCTGCGATCCCGTAGTACTGAGTTCTCCGAAGTGCGACTTCCTTCAGCTCTTTGGAAAACCCAGGTGCGGTCAATAGTGACAAGTCCCTGAACACAAACAGACTTAACAGACAGAAATATCTGTACTCGCAGGAGAGGTTTCAGCTGTCTTTGCTAACATAAATGAATCAATAAGAAAGTATATCATTTTACTGTAATTTTAAACAATGTCTGTTATTATTCCACAGACAGCTTTAAACTCTGTGATCAGGATGCTTAAATAGTTTGGTAGTGAGGGGCACAACTGACTGCAGGAGATTCACATCTCCAGTTAGTTAAGTCCCAGTTCTGCGCACATTTATTCCATCAGGCTCATGAAAGCTGGTGAGTACATCCTACGGTGCAGGGACACAGTTAAACCCATTTTTGCTTATGTAGGCCTGCTGTCAAGCCATAATCAAAATTGATTCTGGCAGCCAGTATGCATGCAATCCTTTGAAGTATGCATGCTGTGTACAGTTATGCAGGCTATAATGTCCAGGCTTATTCTCTGGTGACCTCTGATCCAGAACTGATTTGTCATTTATTATGGATTTGGGGTTAAAAAAAAAAAAAAAGATGTAGGGGAAAAAAAAAGCTATGTGATATGCACATTGCTGCGATATGCATTGGAGCAAAACTGTGTAATATGTGTATAGGAGTATATATAAAGAAACAGTATAAGAAAAAGTGTGTGCGAGCCAGAGTAGAATTTACAGCCAAAACAGCCTGTGAACTTTGCCTCCTCATAAGAAGATGCAGTTCCATTGAAATCTAAATTGCATCCGAAAGTACCGACTTTAGGATGTAACTTAAAGCCTGGTTTGGCCCCCAGTACCTTAAGGTTGTTGTCTAGCTTGGTTTGTGAGTCTGTTCTTTCTAGCACTTGTGCACATGCTTAAGACTACCATAAAAATTGATTCAAATCCACTATGTTAAGCTCACACACAAAATCCTCGCAGGGTCAGAGCCTGTGTTTGTGATCCCGAGTGGGATACTTGCGCGTCCCAGTTTGTCAAGTACCAGTAATGCTTCTTAGCTGAACACATGCTCTTCTTCCCACAGCGCAACGTGTGGTCAGCAGAGCCTGCTCTAGTCTCAGAACTGACTGAGTCAAGAAAACCAGGATGACAAACGAGCCTATTAAAGAGATCCTGGGAGCGCCAAAGCATCCTGATCCTGTAACCGCAGAGAAGAGCAATAACAATGACTGTGTGATAACCACCATCCCCCTGGTCAGCGAATGCCAGCTGACGGCAGCGACGGGGGGAGCAGAGCTCTCCTGCTACCGCTGCACCGTCCCCTTTGGCGTGGTTATCCTCATAGCTGGTGTTGTGGTTACTGCCGTGGCGTACAGCTTCAATTCCCACGGATCGATCATCTCGGTGTTTGGATTGGTCCTCTTGTCATCGGGACTCCTTTTGCTGGCTTCTAGCGCGGTGTGCTGGAAAATTAGGCAACAAAATAAGAAAGCGAAGAGGCGGGAGAGTCAGACAGCACTTGTGGCACATCAGCGAACCTTGTTTGGGTAAAGATCACCGGGAGAGGGCTGGACAGAAGACGGAGCCCTTGTAAATCAACTTGACTATTTATCAAGAGGTCAGATTGCAGGATTTAATTTAACGTTGGAAATGAATTGAAATGAAAATGGAACAGTTTAAGAAAGACTCTAAAAACTCCACAAATGCTCTTAATATTTTTCTTACTGCAGGCTTTGTGGTAATTCTTTCCAAGACAGAGGGAAAATCATTTTCCTTCACGGAAAACAGTGTTGTCATAACTGCAATCCAGAGCATTCTGCAACATGCTGATCATGTTGGAAAGAGAACTTGTGAAAACTAAGAAAATAATTTTAACTGACTTAAAATGCCAGAGATCTCCTTAAATACTGTGACATTTGACCAAGGGAGAAATCATGGCGTTTGAAGTGATGACAAGGTTATGGCCAGATTGCCAGTGACAATAACGTTGTTGCTCAGAAAAAAAGCAGTAACAACCAAGCAAACTGCAGACTGCTCGATAAGCTGATTCTTAGATTTCTAGGTAACCTTTTCTCCCCAGTGATATCTGTGGTACTTTCCCCCCCACTTTTTTTAAAAACAAACTAATATTAATTTTGTTTTCCCATTGAATAGAAATAGGTAGAAATGTGTAATTATATTGTCTAACCTAAATAACGAGGTATGAGTATAGCTTCGATGTGAGACTTTTGTAAATTAAAGTGGTCAGGTTTAGCACTTTTCATTATTTTACTATAAAATTAAGAATTAAATTTCATTAAAATAATATTCAATGCTACTAGAGCTTTATAAAATTTTTTTTATTGCTATCAGGATAACTTATGTCTTCAACTTTGACTACTACTACTTTTTTTTTTTTGTAGAACAACAGCTGTGACAGTAACTGCGAACATACATACCACTGATCTGTTCCAAAAATCTCTATAGACCATGGATTTTGATTTGACAGCCCATTCCTCTTGCAGCTTCATTAACAACTGAATTATTGAAAAATCCTAGGGGTCAGTTCCTCAGACACTTATTGGCATAGTCCGTTTTACTGAGTTTATTAATAATTACTCGTGGAAGCAAAGTCATTCATGTATAAGTGTTTGCTGGATGAGTGTCGGGGTTATGAATCTGTGTGAAAATGCAGGTCTCAGGTGCCCCCGTGTGTGTCCGAGATATTTGATTCTGCAAATCTTGTGTTCCAGAGGTCTTCCAACTTTTCTCAGGTCATGAATAATTGAGGGACTGGCCCCAAACTGGAGCAAAGCCAAACAGTATTTCATCGTTTCTATGATGGAGGGCAAGCGGCGCTGAGCTCAGCTACAGGCCTCCACCTCCGTGAGTGTTTGTGAGAGCATTCAAAGGCAAAGGGGATGCTTGGAGTCCTCTTTTTCTTTTTTCTCCCCCCGGGCTCAAAAGGGCTAATGTGAATTTTTGCTGCAGCCTCCTCTGTGCCCTCCCCTCCGGCAGCGGGCCAGCCGTGGCGCGGCAGCCACGGAGCACGCCTGCCAAACAGGGGGGCTTGCCTTCGCCAGGTCATCCCCGAGCCGGACCCTTCCCCTGCTGAAATCGCCCAGGCATCTTGGCTTAGGTGCCGCCTTTTCCTCTGCCCTGCGTGGCTTAAGCTTGTTACATCCAGAACTTATCCCTGGATTTGCAAAGTGCGCTGCGTGTTTTAAATAGAGCTGGCTATATGTAGGGGAGGGGATGTTTGGAGTCACTATTTGCGTTGCCACACTCCATGGTTACCAGACGCTATAATAAAATCACTTGCATCAGAGGAAAGCTGACAACACATTTTAGCACTTCCATAGCTCTAACTTAATCACGGCAGGAAGCTTCCCTGCTGCTAGGAGAACATGTTGCGTCACCAGAACATCTGACACCGGTGTCTAGTGTCAATCACTTTGCTTAAGGTCATTAAAAATATTAGGGTATCCCCTTACGATGTACAGGTTTTTGCATGAGTGACAATTCATGGGAAATGCATAGCATGATAAATAATGCAACAGGTGGGCTAAAGTGGTGTCTTTCCTGTTTAAAATGAGGAAAGTGATTGACATCAGCAAAGCTGGATCAGCTAAATACGGCTGTTTATTTGCTTTCCCCTGGGAACACCTCTCCCCAACTTCTTTCTCCCCAGTGGAATTTCGCGGGCGGCCGAGAAGAGCGTTGCGGGGCCCGCGCAGAGACGCGGTGACTCCCGAAGCCTGCCCCGTCCGCGGGCTCGCTCTTTGCCTCTGGCGACAGAGGCGAGCTTGCAGGCGGTGTGCCGCGCGTGGAGGGAAAGCAGAGGTGCGCGGTGAGGCTCTGGCCCAAGTCCAAAAGAAAAGCCAAACTCGGAGAAACGTAGGCAACGAGTTTGGGCAGCAGGTTTGCAGGGGGGGTAAATGGGGGCGAATGGGGACGGCTTGCTCTGCAACTGCTAGAGGAGATTTCCTTTCCCTCATCTCCGCTCCTTTGCGTTTGACCCGTGTATGCAAGGAAACAGCCTCTGCCTTGCGAACTGCGGGGCACTGAGGCGTTAAGGAGCCGGTAAGCAGTGCCAGACCGCATTACACAGGTGTCAGGAGTGATCCCCCAGCATAGCAAAGCTTCAGCCACCACCATGGTGTCCTGTAGTACCTGCTAACTGACAGGCTGAGATGCCTCTGGATAATGCGGCTCTACTACAGCACAAGCTGCCGAGCTCGGGAGGCAAGGTCCACCACGCACAAGCATCTTCATATCGAGCAGTGAGTGAAAGTCCATGCAAGAATTCACCCTTACTTGTCCTCCATTCAGAGAAGCCAAAGGAGAACTTTACAGGGAAGAATCCCAGCCCCTGGTTGGGGCGTCTGCAGGAGCGAGGCAGAGCTTGTGAGCGGGTTAAGCAGAGATCTCGTACACCGTTCAGGAGCGTTTCATCACCACGCTGCTATGTGGCCCTAGAAACCTGACCGGGCTTCTCTATCATGACTTATGTGCTTTGATTTGAGGACAATCTGAAGTAATTGTTGGCATCCTTTCTGAATGGCCAATGATGACCCCCAACATGAGTCTCCTGGTCTATATTTTTTTCTTTCTGTACATCTACATGTTGCAGACATACTTCATTATTATCCTCTCTCTCCCTGCACCTCTCATCCAGGTTGCAACACAGGAGCAATATATATTTTTTTAGCCCTTAAAAATAATTGTTCTGGGAAGGGTGCTAAGCCCGAGTACAGCCTACTCGTGGCTGCACTCGGGCTTAGCACCTTCATTTTACCACAAAATGCTGACATTGCACTCAATGAGGTCTGAAATGTTTTTACAAGAGCAAATGGAAAGCCAGCCCCCTCCGCCAAGCTGGTCAGCTACAAACACAAAAGTTCTGCTTCAGCTTTTGAACCCCCTAATCTAATCCGGATTGGATTTGGGGTTTCACGCAGTCCCCAGAGTCTTTGATACAAAGCTCTTTGGGACTCGGCAACTGCCGCTTGGTGTTTTTCATGGGCTGAACCCGAAAGGCAAAAGTCAGCCTGGAGGATGCAACCCTGTGGAGATCAGAATGACTTTCCCGTTCAGAAACACCTTCCCTTCTGGTGTGAAAAGGCTTTGAATGCGACAAATGGTATTTTGGTTCTGGGTGAGGTTGGGTGGGAGCTGATGCAAATTTTATTGTCACAATTGCTTGTCTCTCCCTTCCTGAAAGCTCTGGCAGCGTTGCGCAAGAAGAATTGCCCTCACAAGGATAGAAAATTATCTAATAGGGGAATTGCGCTGGTGCACCGGGCAAATGTTACGGGGATCTTAAATAATAATTTCAAAACCTAAGCACAGGAAATTGTGTCTGTAACTACACCCTGTATTGCTATTGTACACAAAGCCGGTTATGGCCTGGGACAGTATTTTAAAATAATAATCAGTTTGGTATGACAATGCTTAATATTTGTTCAAGTCAAAACGCCCAATTTACGATTCCCAAGTCACATAATATGTCATGTTTCGTACGTGACTGTGGTTCTAATACCATAATTTTCCAGGTTTTAAAAAAAAGAGGGAGAGAGAAAGGTTAGTTTCATGGACTCGTGTCAAAAGAGCTATGTTTCTCTGCTTTGGACACTTGGGAGAGCTCCTATTACCAAAGAGCCTCGAACGTGCAATATTCCTGCAGCGCTACAGAACAGGAACCAGGGCTCAGAGCAGAAGAGCTAAACATTTAGAAAGCCCTGAGAGTCTCCTGAAGATCCTGAAGAGGCCAGAAACAAGCCCTCTGGAGCATCCCATATTCTTCCTTGTCCAGGGCTGGAGTCCCTTTAATATTGGAGACGGAGGTTTCACATATGAACAAAATATTGACAGCCATCATTTTGCTGATGTATTTCTGATACCTCCGATGCCTCTAGGTTGTAGGACTTTTAAGCTACATCAGTATAAATCTTTGTTAATTACAAAGGGCTTTCGTAGCTAAAAGTACATTAACAAATAAAGAACTGCTCTGTATGATGTGAAAACTGATGCAAGTCCTGCTAAAACTTTTATGCTTAGACTAAATCTTACAGGCTAAAACATATAGGAGAACAATGGTCTTAAACTGCAGAATCAACTTGAATTTTTGGCTTTTATTCAGGTTGTTGATGTCACTATTAACATGACAGAGGACCTAATCCTTCCTCTTGTGCGCAGCCAGTTGGAGTCCCATTGTCCTAACCGATGCATCCAAAGCTTTGTATTTGTGGAAAATCTGTCATTTTTGAAAAAAACAGTTTTCTTGGATTGACTACTTTCACTTCCTACTCTGCTGTTCTTTCTGGACTAAGAAACAAAAAGTCTTAAACTTTAAAAAGTGAGAGGAGAAACAGAAAGAAGGAAACGTTCTTTCCGTAGCACATGTTGGACATTCTGCATAAAGCCACGGGGGGACTGTAGGACTTCACACAAGTTCGTACAGTGCCTGGTTGAGTGATAGAGACTCTTACAAATCATAAAAGTCTTGTTCCTCATACATCCTTGGCTGGATCCTCAGTTTCTTTCTTATAAACTGCCTGAAGATCTCAGGTTAACATCAGCCTTGGATCTCACCTCCTATTTCTTCCCCTTTTCCGTTTCTCAGGGACGAGCCAGCCCAGCAAAAAGGGGATGTTTGATTTGTTACCGTCTTTTGCAAGCAGGCTGAAATCATACAACCACTTGGGGTTTGCAGAGACAGTGCCCCGGTTTTCACAGGTTGCACCGCGTTCAGCCACGGCCTAATCTTGAGGAGGAGACCCTCTGCAGAGGGAGAGATTGCTCTACTGCAGCAAGCGATGGCAGTGAGCGAGCTGTTGAAAAAAAGCAAATCACAGCAGCAGAGCCCCCTTACCAGCTCAGCCGCCTTCCCTTTTGAATCTGCGGGCCCGGGTTTGTGAATAGAGTTAACAGCTTTCCTGGAAAACTGGCCCATGACATTATTTCCTTGTGAACTCCATCCACCTGTCATGTTAGGGCTTGGTGCGACGCCAGCGCTGGCAGGAAATAATAGGCAGCAGGATGCCGGTGTGTGTCGATGGCCCTGACCCTCCCATTCCTGAACATGAATAAGCCGCGGGCTCGCAAGGCGTCACAGCAGCGCGGCTCCCGGGCCCACAGAAACGCAGGGGTGTGATGCACAGCCGCTGAAACAACATCCAGGCGGCCGCGCCGCGGGGGAAGAGC